CTGCTGTTGAAGAAAGATGCCGAGCCTGTATTAATGCTCAAGGAAATCACTTTGAACAACATTTAATATAAATTTTAATGTTTACATTTAATTAATAAAGTAGTTAGAACAAATAAATAGGTTTTATTTATTTCTTATAACGTAAATAATCCATAACAACGAAAATCGTTAGGTGTGAATATCTCCTAAGCATTTGTGTACGTACCATTAGAGGTTATTCTTTCTTGTTTTGAGGTCCGTAGTTCATAACCCTGAAACACCATGTATAAATTAATTTGAAATACAACATTCCATATTATATCAGGATTAATGTTTTCGATATTATTAAAATACTTTTGTACTTATATATACATTATGTAAGTAACAATACCTCATTTTGGCACTTATTGCAAGCAATGACGATTCTCCAAGGTATCGCAATATGCATAAATAACAAGAAAAAGTATACCACGATCATATCCATTTTCCAAGATACATTGATCATCAAATAGCCTAGGTTATAAGTTAATAAAACAACCACAAAAAGCATAATGCTTATGATAAAAAAGTATTTGAAAGCTATGAATATCTGATATTATGATTGCGCAATCACACAGCTGTTCATGAGCCCAGACCAAACTTTCCAACCTCTTTGCCTTTGATGACGATGTTGATGCTGATATCTGTAACAGTTCATCGTTGCACAATTTCAACAATGAAGTGATAATGCCAAAAAAACCAAAAAGCCTATCAATTAATATTACTATAAGCAAAAACTGTAAGTCTTGAAAAGCTTGAAGGATAAGAAAGTCGATAATTATCAAACCAATCAAATATCTCCGAATCGTATCTGCAAAAAGAACTGAAAGTAAAGCAGAGTTAATCATTAGGAATGTTTTAATTGGTCGAAACGTTAATTTCTTAATCGGAAACACAATCCTCCACAATGACATTAGTCTACTGATTGTTTCATTGAAGTCATTCAATCTGAAATATAGTTCAGAAAGAGAGACAATGGGGTATATACTATACAAGAAGGCGCAAGACATATTAGCAGCTAAAAATAGCAAATTATTATTTCTAATAAATAATTTGAAATTAACAGCAACTAAAACATTGTAAAGTATGATTGAAATGATAATAATAAAAGATGAAACTAAGCGTTGCAATGACAGTTGAAAATTTTCTCTCGTAATGATGATGAAGGGGAACAATCCGAAGTTTTTCGATAAATCGAATACTAAAAGAATTTTCTCGATTATACAATTGTTAGACATTTTTGCTTGCAAGTGCTCGATCCTTTCCGGAAGGTGTCACAGACTGGACAAGAAATGGCTTCCTCTTATCGATTCAAATCAAATTGTAAACACTGTAATCAGCAGTTGATATATTCCGACATTGTTGATACCATTTTCTTGATGAAATACCAACAACGATGGAAGCACGTGTTGCAATTTTCATCACTGGATAAACAACAATTGGAAGGGTTAATGAAGTATAAATAGCTATAATGATAACCGTTTCAAAAAGAGTGATAATCGTAAATGTCAGAATCATCGAGGAATATCCCTACTCAGCATCCTCTACAAATTTTCTCCAATGTGCTTGAAAAAAGAAAATAGCTTATAGGACAAAAGCTAGGGGAAGCACAATATGGCTTACGGCCTAACAGGAGCACACAGGATCTGATCTTCACAATGAGGCAAATATCCGAAAAGATTGTGGAAAAGAGCAGAGAGGTCTTCGCTTGTTTTGTAAACCTAAATAAAGCATTTAACAAAGTGCAGAAAGCAGATATCTCAAGAGCATTGGAAGAATATGGCGTTCATATAGGATTGAGAAAAGCCACCCTAAGTCTGTTACATTCAAATATAATACAATTTGAAAAGACTAATGAACAGCTGCGTAAGATCTGTGATCGGGTCCCCATGATACTCCCATGTTTCTCACCACTACGCTGAGTTAAAGTGGCTTTTCCCCTCCTTCCGAAGACAATATTTCCTATACGTTCCTCTACCAAATCATCAACAACCATCGTCCTTCTTACGCCTACAACCTTCTCCAGTTCAAATCCTCAGTCCATTCCCTGTCCACAAGATCTCGACTTTCTAACCTTTACATGCCTTCTCACAGATCTGCCACATTCCAAAATTCCTTTATTGTTCGCTCTGTCAATTTCTGGAATTCCCTCCCTATCAAAATTCGACATTCCCCATCCATATCCACATTAAAAACCCTCCTATTCCAATTCCTATCCCAAAAACAGTCAGATAGTTGCTAACCATTCGAGCTGATTTTAATAGAGAATTTGATACATTTTTATTTTTTAATTCTTTATTTTTTTTCGTAAAAGTGTATACTGGTCTATAAGAGCAAACAGCTTTAAGTGTTTTGTCATAGTATTGATGGTTTTTTATATAGTTTAGTTTGTTTTATATAAAGAATTTTTACCTTATATTTTTTTTACATTATTTCTTTTTTTCGATTGATTTTATTTTGGCCAGATGTAATATATTAATTTTGTTCTATTTTGTTATTCTCAAGGGACTGTGTCCCAGAATAAAGTTATTTTTCTATTTCTATTTCTATTTCTATTTGTGTATGAAACGCATGAAAAATGTTGTCAGGATGTGCAGCCATACATCAAAGGAATTCTCAACAGATCAAGGAATCAGACAGAAATGCAGCATTATATTGCTTATAATAGTGCTGGACTCTGCCCTAAAACATCAAAACAGAAAACCATACCACCTCGGATTTTGCTAACGATATGGTGGTATTCGGTAACGACTGCCGTAATCTACAGTTGAACCTCAAGATCCTTCAAGCTGAGCTGAGGAATATAAATTAGGAAATTAACATCTCCAAAACAAAATGTATGAGGATTGAGAGAAGGGATAGAATCCGCCTGGAGCAAGTTGAGGTTTTCAAATACCCTCACCTCTACGAGTACAGATGGGTCGATAGAGACACAAAAACGAAATTATTAAGACTGCTTAAAATGCTTCTACTCCCTCAAATCAGGCTTCTTGGACAAGAAGGAAGTCTCAAAGGCCTCTAAGATAATTTTTTTCAAGAATACCTTCCTCCCTATATTAACATATAAAGCGAATCTTGGACCCTCACTTACAAGAACAAAGTCCAAATCCAAGATATGGAAATGCAGAGTAAATAATCGAAGAGAGCCAACTTTGGTGGTTTGGACAGATCTCGCGAATGGCTGAAAGCAGAATTTCCAGGGCTGCCTACAAGGTCTGAGTGGAGGGAAGATGGCCACAGGGAAGACCAAGAAAAAGTTGGGAAGAAGGAATCAAAGAAGTATTTCACAGATGGGCAATGCACTCGAGGACATAGATTCTTGGATCAGACACTATAAGAAGGAACTTCACACTTCACACTGCTCAGCACTAACTAAGATGACTGGATTAAGTAAGTAAATGGGCAGTTTTTACTTTCCTACCTATACTAGATAAGGAAAGTATTGCGATCGGGTCAAATTTCCAACATGCGATTTTTGACGAATCTATAAGTTTCAGAGTCCCCTGAGTCCAAAAAAACACAATTTTAGCCATTGGTCTTTCTGTCTGTGCCCATGATTTTCTTGGGAACTAGAGAAACCGATTTCATTACTTCTTTTTTATTTTTGTTTGAGTTTTGAATACTGATGCTTGTGACACAATTTGGATGTTCCATGCGCAATAGTGGCTGCGCAACATAGTTTTCTATAGGCTGTAGCGCAAAAACAGCTCTAACGATTGATGAAAATTTCCTATAACGTTCTAATAATTGTCCTTTCAATTTTCGTACATGGATTAAAATCCCGACAAAATTCAGGAAAAAAGTTATAAAGAAAGGAAAAATGTTTTGGGTCCTAACTCACTAAGTATTCTATGGTAACATTTATAATAAAACTTTATATAACAAACCGAAAAAACACAGTATTTTTAAAGGTAATAAAATTCGCTACAAAATTATATAAAAGTCGTTCATTTCGGACAACTATTAATGAAGTTACAGCTATTCAATTTCGTATATAACATTACGGGTTCATATTCTGGTGTAAAGAATGGGATGAATGAGAGAAAAACGTGAATAACAAAGTGAAAGTAAGAAAATCTGTTGTCCGCACCACACAAGCTTCACTATTTGCTTTAATTTTAATAGAAATTATTGTTTGACAAAATTAGGCTATGGCAAAAAGTTTTTGATCAGCAATATTAGAGGGTATTGAAATTTGTACACTGAACTACCTCAAGCCGGTTTATATTGGAAATAAATCGTACTCAAATCTTTTTTTTGATAAATTTTCAGGAAAATAAATCTAGTTCAATTTTTTTTTTTGTTTCTTTATGAACATATGTAAAGATGTAAAAACTTTTTTGAAATAGGTAGGAAAGTCGTGTGAGTGGACACACCAAATTTTTTAATTTCTCTTTCTTCAATATTTAGATTATGGTAATTTATTGTTGTAGATTATTTATTTTTGTCATTAATTGATTTAAATATGCATTTTAACTTCCAATGTTGCATTTTTTATTTTATTTTGTGTGACTCTATATTTTAATTCAATAACTTAACATAAGGTTTGATAACATAGGGTTCCGATGCATCAATATTATAAAATAAACAAAATAGATGATTTTTGTACGTTTTTGGGTATAAATTAGACAATTTTACATATTTTAGGGTTTTACTGCACAATTTTCATTTTTTTACTGCACGAAGATCCAGTTTCTATTAATGTATACATATATCAACATTTGAAACATTTTATAAAAATGTTGGATATTAAACCACCTTTCAAAATTCAGTTGTAATTCTGAAAGTTTATATATATTTTTGTGAAAATAGTGAGGTAAAAAATTAGTAGTAAATTGACTTTTAGTTGATATTAATCCACCAAATAAATATTTTTGTTGTCATATTTTGGAACGGCATTACATTGAGTATTAAGGACTTCATACAACTATGAGATAACGTTATTTTTAATTGTTCAATCGTTAATGTGGCAGCTACAAAATGTTTAAACCTTTATCTATATTCTTACACAGTGTGAGTAGACTAATTTATATGTATATTTTGTTTATAATAAATTATTTTAGAATTATTTATTATACAACTTATAAATTTGTAGTATAATAGCCGATATAAATACAATTTATTTTACATCTGAATAATAATTTTATTTTATCAGGAAATTCATGGCATTTCACTTATTCGATTGTTGAGAACGGAATAATTAAAAAGTTCGTTTAAAACAAAATTCAAAATAAACATAAAAATAAAGAGTTCTGATTAGTGTACGGTGTTCTGAGTTAACGAATTCCAAAATACTTGTTTATACAGGGTTTCACGTAAGCAGAGAGAAATTTTTAAGAGGTTGACAGTATACATAATGAGTTAAAAAAAAGTTCCTGTAAACAATTGACCAATTTCCTACAGAGAGAGAATCACTTTATTATCATAAAATAGAATAAAATGGTGCTGCCCAATTATATTGGGTTGCTAACAACACAGCATACTTATTAATCACTACAGACATTATTTAAAATTATTATACAATTATATAGGAACAACAATATGTATGAGCATAGTATACAATATTTTATACGTATATATATATATATATATATATTATTATTTTTTTTTTCCTTTTTTTTTCTCCTTTTTTTTTATTTTATAATTTTTACTATTTCTTTCATTCATTTATTATCATTCTGTACCCTTTCTCTTCCTTCTCTCCCCCTATACATGTTCCCACTCCTCACATTCTCTCCTCTCTATTTCTAACCTAATACATAAAAAAATACATTAAGTACAGTGGACGTGTTCAATAAATAATAATATAAAAATGCCGTAACACACGCATGCCTCCCCCCGCGAGCAAACTCTCCCCCTATCCGCTCCCATGCACATGCACATGGTGGTGGATGATTCCCAGGGAGTCGAGGATTATACTCTCCAAGAAAAGTAATAAATTTAAATGTTGTGTTATGTGCATGGATAGAGAGTTTGTTCATGGGGGGAGCCATGCGTGTTTTACAGCATTTTTACATTATTTATTGACAACTGCACTTTATGTATTTGTATGCATGTTATGAATTAGGTTAGGAAAAGAGAGGAGAAAATCTAGGGAACGAGAAAAATGTATAGAGTGAGAGAAGGAACAGAAAGGGATGTATAATGCTAATAAATGAATTAAAGAAATAGTAAAAATAAAATAAATAAATAAAAAATAAATAAATAAATAAAAATATAGGAAAAAAAACTATGATAAAAAAATATATATAGATAAAAAAAAAATTGTATATTATGCTCATACATGTTGTTGATACTATATAATTGTATATTAGTTTTGGAAAATTGTCTGTAGCGATTAATAAGTATGCTGTGTTTAAAGCAACCCAATGTAATTGGGCAGCACCCTTTTATGATAATAAAGTGATTCTCTCTGGCTAGTTACGTTTTTTCTTGAATATGAAGCGATAACTAAAAAAAAAATACTTAATTTAAGTAATTATCAATTGCGTCACAATAAACTAGATAAAATATAATTTAAATTATAATGGATTTTGCAATTGCTAAAACCATTTACAGGAGACTTTTGAACAGCTAACATAAACTAAGTTATGGTTTAAAAAAAATCATAAATTATTCCTGATTTTTTAAAATCATTTTTTAACTATACTACCGACACTCCACTTATACAAAAAAATCTTCATTTTATAACCTTCTAATCCACATAAAATTAAGTTGAGATTTATCAGGTAAAACTTATAATTCACCTCAAGTGGTGTAAAAAAATTTGATTTTATAATTTGTCACTTAACAGTAACCGTGTTTTATAAAAAATTATTGCAAAGGTTTAATTTCCGTTTTTTCGATACCCTAGGGTGAATGATAATCATTATATAAATAGGCAAACACAAAACGGTTCAGCCCCTTTTGCTCCTCTATTATTCAACCGATTATCTTCTTTTTTTGTTAAACTATTAACGAGCTTTAAAGTTAGCAATAAATAAAAAAATATGAAGTAGTGTATGTAAATTAAAATAAGAATAGTAGTTTATTCAAAACAGCTAACCTCCGATTTCTTTGAAATTTTGACACAAGGTCGCAATACGATTCAGGAGTGTTTTTGTTTACGTTTCATTATTATTCATTATTATTGCCGAGAAAGGGTTGGATCTGGGCGGGACAACATCCGTGCTGGGCTATGCTGATGATCTGGTACTGTTAAGCGAAGACGTTGAAACTATAAAACTAAATACGACAACGTTAATGAAAGCCGGTAAAGAACTAGGACTCAAAATAAACGTGGATAAAACAAAATATATGGTTAGCTGCAAAAATGGCGATACTACTGGTGATATCGATATAGATGGTAATATGTTTGAACAGGTAGATAAATTTAGGTATCTAGGTTCTACGATAACTAGAAAAAACGAAATTGAAGAAGAGATTAAGGTTAGACTGAAGGTGGGGAATGCTTGTTATTTTTCTGTGACAAAACTACTTAGTTCGCGCCTCTTGTCCCGAAACTTAAAAATTAGAATCTATAAAACAATTATCTTGCCTACAGTTCTTTATGGATGCGAAACTTGGCCGCTTACATTAAGGGATGAGCAGCGTCTTAAGGTTTTTGAAAATAAAGTATTGCGTAGAATATTCGGACCGAAGGAGGATGAGTTAACCGGAGAGTTCAGACGGTTACACAACGCCGAATTGCATGAGCTTTATCCGGGTAATATAATTGAGGTAATTTCATCGCAGCGAATCAAATGGGCTTGTAAAGTTGTTGGGCTTAGTAACGAGAGAATTCCTAAAAGGCTAATATTTGCTGTGCCGAATGGTAAGCGTCCGAGGGGTAGACCGAAGCGGAGGTGGGAAGATTGCATTAAAGCCGATCTGAAGGGACTGGGTTTGGACGGCGAACGGTGGAAGGAGGTGTGTAACAAGCGATTGGTGGTGTCGGCATCGAACCTTCGGGTTCGCTAAGCCTTACTATTATTATTATTATTATTATTATTATTGCTGTGATTCGCTTTAGATTGTTTTGTTTTTTTATCTATCTGTTTATCGAGTAATAATACATTTTGCCACACTTGAGGGCACTGAGTATTAAGGCTGAGAGAGGCACATTCATACCATATATACAATACATAAAAAAAAATAATAATAATAAATAAGTAAATAAATAAAAAAAATAAAAAATATAAAAATCTATATAACAAAGGCAAAAACTATAATAAACTAGGAAATGTAACTAAGAGTTAAAATTAAATGAAAAACAGAAATTCGTAGCAAAATTAAATAAATTATAAATAATAGAAATAAATAGAAAAACATTCATACTTAAATACAATATTTACAATTAGGTAAGAGATCTCCGAGTCCAGCCCTTTCCCCCACGTGTGAAGGACAAAGCGAGACTCTAAGAGATCCCAGCGCTTCTCTCTAAACCGCGTTGCCGGCATTACCGCTTTAGATTGTAGCGCCAAAAAGGCTGCAACGGTTTTAATGAAACAAGTCTTCCCCTTGAAGCATTTATAATTTATGTATATAACATACTTTTCTGAAAACAAGCTGCATACATTTTTATGATGAATTCAGTATTTTGTTTGCTAATACTCAAAAAGTACACATTTTTTTTATTGCTAATACCAATATTTATTTGACAGCTTCCTAAATTCCCTGTAAAATAAAAAATATCATCGAAATTTGTCGCAGAGATGTATCATTTTAAATATTTAATACTTTTTCTTTTGCAAAGACGATTTCCATTAATTTAGTTTTTGATAAATCTAAAACTTTACATGTAATCGAGTAATCGGGATGGTATCATTGAATATTAGTGGAATGTTACCTCATAAATTAAATTTAAATTTAAATTCTGTAGTTATACTCATTCTTAATTTAAATACTGACAAGTATTATTTAATGGATCACGAATGAAAGTGAAATACTAACGGGAGCTAAAAATCAATATTTTTAACAGCTTCTTTTTAGAAAAACAAAAATTTGTTTTTTGCATTTATATTTATTATTATACATTCTAGGTCTTTGAAAAAAATATACAGCTTTGCAATAATTTATTGTACTGATTTTTGATAAAACATGAGTACTTTTAAGTGACAAGTTATAAAATCAGATAATATTTTTACACAACCTGAGGTGAATTTCAATTTTTTTTCTGGTAAACCACAATTTAATTTTATGTGGGTTTGAAGGTTATTAAACGAAGAAGTTTTTCTAAAAGTGGGGTGTCGGTAGTATAGTTGAAAAATCTTTTTAAAAAATCACGAATAATTTATGATTTTTTTAAAACCATAACTTAGCTTATTTCAGCCGTTAATAAGTCTCCTTTAAATGGTTTCAACAATGACAAACTCTATTTTCATTTAAATTATATTTTGTCTAGTTTATTGCGAAGCACTGGGTAATTACTTAAATTAAGTATTTTTCTAGTTATCGCTTCCTATTCAACAAAAAACGTAACTAGCCTAAAATAAAACAAAACTTTATTGTAAATTTCTTAAAAATTTCCCACTATTTACATGACATCCTTTATAAACAAGTAATTTGGAATTCGTTTTTCGGATTATTTGGTAGTTTTTTCGTTTTTCGGCAATTTAAATTTTTGCTTCACTATAAGGGCGTATTCTTATGTTTCCCAAGCCGTAGATTTCGAAAATGACCTTTTTTGTTTATTTAGAAATATAAAAATCTTTCACATGGACAATAATTAAAGTGATATATGAATACATTCACACCATATATACAGAAAGTATAAAATTAACAACAAATTATATACAGTAAAATAATAATCAAAAACTATGTACAATAAAAAATAAAATAACCTAAACATAATTAAATTAAAAAGTCATACCTATATACAATCAGGCAGAGGACTCCAAGAGATCCCTGCACTACTGTCTCAACCGCGTCACTGGTGCTAAAGTCAGTGGAGTTTGAGCGAGAGCACTTTAGCCTCATACACTCATGTCTTGACTGGAGAATCTGGCCATTACCAGAACTCCAACATATATACT